CGTGTGATAAGTCACTGTGTAAGGGTTATCCGGGACCATCCTGTGTGGTAAGTCAGTAGGTAAAGAGCCCCCAAGACCATCCTGTACTATTTTTGTAACTTCCTTTGAGTAGACAGCAACTTTAAAATAAAAAGTTAAAAAAAAATCCCATCATGTTCTGAGTCAGGTGATCTAAAACCAATTAATAAAGAAACTTATGTTAAGAAAATCATAAGTATTTGTAATTAAATTTTAATAAGAATATTTTCTGCAAAATTCCAATATTTAAATAATACAACAAAAACTTACTCTATTTTGTCTCACAATTTATAAGTAATTTTATAAACTATAAAATGGCAATTATCCCAACCTTTAAAAGAAGGTCAAACCCATAAACTTTTCTGAGATGGTCACACATTCTGGAAAGTGCCTATATATGCAATTTGCTTTGATGATGTCACCAAAGAAAATTATCCAAATATATTCTGGGTTCACTATGCACATTCTAGAAGCAAGTCTTAAAAATCAAAGTTATCTAGAGTCTAATTTTATAGGTTCCTAAAGAACTTCCCCATGCATGTTGGCCTATTACTAAGAACTGATGAGCAAATAAACTATCCTATATATAAAGCTTAAATTTCATTTAACCGTGCATATTTTAGGCAATAAAATATATACATTTACTGTTGTTACTGACACTTAAGAATGAACCCCAAACACATGCTCAGCCTGTGTTCTATCGACACTGAACTACACCCCAGACTCTACAACTTATCAAATTACCTTTTCTCTTGGTACTGTTTCTAAGTCTGACAGCGTTTCAGAGGCTGATTTAAGATGTGACCACACAGCAGTGACTGGGAATCGTGGCATTGCTCTGGCAAAGGGCTAGCAGAACCACGGAGAACACTCACCGCTGCTCCACCACTTCTTGCCGTTAACTATATAGCCATCTCCGTCTCGCTGGATGCTACACTCAATGTTCGTGGCATCACTTGATGAGACACTGGGCTCTAGAAAGGAAGAACAGCTTGATCAACAGGCAGGCAGAAATCAGTCTTCAGCCAAAGAGGCTTAGGCAAGAGCAGGCAAGCTCGTCAAGGACAGAGGCACCTTGGGTTTTTATTGTATTTTTTAAATCTTTCCACTTTACCCCTTTCTACTCAGTCCTTTCTTAATGACACACTGTAAGCACTCAATAAATACAAATAGGAAGACAGAGGGATGAAGAGTAGGATTAGTACTGACAACTGTGTCCTTGGAGGCTTTGCTGATGTCTGAGTCCATATACAACTCCCTCATCATTTTCCCAGTCACCAAAACCAGGTAATACTGCCTTTGACTTTCCCCAGTGGGAATCTGCTGTAACTGAGGGCAGGCTGGGTTTCTCTACTCTCACCAGCAACTTCCACTTGTGCCTTGAAGGTGCTACTAGGAATGTACTGCCAGCGACATTCAGATCTTCTCCACACTCAGGTCTCCAGAACGCTCTCTGTGCAATACCTGTAAATATCCTTAAATTCTCTTTACTGCATGGCATATAGGGACTCAGCTTTTACCTTGCTCCTGTATTGTCCTTGTTTTTATTTTGTATGTTTATATGTGTATGTGTGCTCACATGCTGGAACATGTGTGTATATGGAGACCAGAAACTTCAGTTGCCATTCCTCCTCTGGTCTCTCATTGGCTTGGCCTGGTATGTTCCCGATACTCGGTGGTGACTGGCTAGCCTGGCTGGCCAGAGAGCCTCAGGGTCTTCCTGCAGCCAACCCCAGTGCTGTGCTTACACTTGTGTGTCACATCAGATTAGATGTGACATCTGTGAGGATCCTGGGAACAGAACTCGGGTCCACATGCTTGTGTGGCAAACACTTAACAGACTGAGCCGTGTCCCCGCCCCTTTTCTGCTCTCTTAACTGAGTCCTTGGGATGCTTTACAGATTCTTTTTAAAGCTCCAGAAGCTGGTTTCAGAGAAAGTGTCGGTGAGCTTATTTTATGGCCTGAAGAAACACTATGTCATCACACCATTCTGTAGACATTCAATTCAATAAACACCTCTTGATGAATTAAGTAGAAAGAACTTTTGTTATTATATAAACATTTATATGTGTGTGTAATATTTGCATATTATTTAAAAAATAATAAAATCTAGTGGACGGTAGAAGTGCATATTTTTAATCCCAGTGCTCAGGAGGAAGAAGCAGGTGGATCTCTGAGTTTGAATGAACCTACTCTACAAAGTGAGCTCCAGGACAGCCAGGGATACACAGGGAAATCCTGTCTTGAAAAATTAAAACCAAAATAAATAAATAAATAATCTGGTCTCGAGATGTGATTTTTGTCTTTAAAGGAAGTTTTAAAGCCCTGCTTTAATATGCAAATGTACCGAGACCACTGTCATCATCATGTCCCTACTCCGTGCTTTCAGCAATATTCCCATCGGTGTACGTTCTGGTTTTCTAGGATTATGGAATAGCTGAGTAGTTTACAGTCCTATAAATATCACAAGGATGAATATCCATGGGCAGCAGTTGTAGAAACAGCATAGTTTAGAAGCCATCACCCCGCTGCTGATGCTGAAGCAGACGACCAGAATGCATCTGGAACCACCCCAAAGGACAGGGGTGTTTATCCTGAGCATTCAAGGATGACAGCATTTCAAACCAAGCTCAAAACAAACACATTTCTGGCCGTGGGCAAAGTTGGCTACACCCCACACTGTTCGGGTGATCCACCCACGACAACCCCAGGGTGACGATGACAGGAGACGGGGCTGGGACTTGCTCCTACCTGTCATACAGAATGCAGAGGTGATCTCTCCACGAAGGAGGGGCTCCAGCCACTGCTGCTTCTGTTGCTCACTGCCGTACAGGTGCAATACCTCCATGTTGCCTGTGTCTGCATGTGAAGAAAGTGTTGTTTGACATTCAAAACTACCACTATTAAATCCACATTTATGAAGATAATACAAACGATACTTTTTCTTTTCTTTTCATTTTGTTGTTGTATTTCAAGACAGGGTTTTGCTGTGTAACCCTGACTATCGAGAACTTGCTCTGCAGACCAGGCTGGCCTCGAATATATACAGATCCTCCTGCCTCTGCCTCCCAAGTGCTGGGATTAAAGGCGTGTGCCACTACCACCCAGCTCAGACTATATCTTTTGAAGTAAAATGTTGGTTGATGAAAATATTCGGAAACACACATTAAATTTAACATGTAATGATGGCATGCTGTATCATATAAGTCCATGGCACTCAGCTCTTTAGTTCTTTAACTTTTTCTGACTCTTGGGTGCTTGCCCAGTTCTCTCTGCAGTTTTAAGGTCCGACTCAGTTAGGACTGAAGTGGCTGTTCCTGGTTGGAACTCTGCCTTCTGTGCTTGGATGCTGTCAGGAGTGACTTCCACAGTCCTGGAGAGGAGCCTCCAGCTCCCGTGCTGCTCCCCAGACACACAAACTGGCTTGGGCCAGGCCTTGTGAAAGTCTGCTGGTTGTGGGTAAGGAAACTGCTCACGAGCTACGTTCTCCATAAGAACCTCTACTTACCCACTCTGAAAGACCTCCTTGCTCTGAGCTATAGCGATTTTCGTTCATCTTTCATAGCTTGTTTCTGTTGTTGATTCAGTTTGTTCCTGAGACAGGTTTTCTCTGCGTAGTCCTGGCTGCCATCAAACCCCTGCTTCTGCCGTGTGAATGTTGGGATTACAGGTGTGCTCTAAGACAGATCTTAATTTGTGCACCCCATTCCTTTGTGAAAGACAAAAGCCCTGCCTCGTAAAGAAGCAGAAACCCTCACGATCCACTCCAGTCCTGAGCAGTGCCATCTAGTCCACCCCACACTCCACCTTCTGCAGCTGGAAAAGCATACTGTTTATTGTGAGCAAAAGGTTTTAGATGCTTTTCTCTGATTTCCATTCCTGTAACATCTCTTCAATTCTGCTTGAATTTTTTTGCGATTTCAAGGAAGATTTGCAATGTCAACCTCCTGTGGCTCGGAGGGTGGCTGCTCAAATGCTGATGAAAACTGACCGTTCGGAATCAAGTCAATAAATTTGCAAGTGCTGGAGAGCTGGCTCAGGGTTAAGGGCACGCCCTGCTCTTGCAGAGGACCTGGTTCAGGGGCCACCACTCCCTTCAGGCAGCCCACAACAGCTGGTAGCTCCAGCTCCATGGGATCTTACATCCTCTTCAGGAGACTTATCACATGGATGGTTTTAAATCTTAAAACCACCCTTTGCACTCTGTTCAGATACTAACACTGAATTGAGAGGCACAAAATTCCTAGTAGATCAACACAAACCTAACAAATGAGGGAGAAAAGAAGTCCTCAATTATAATTAACAGAATGAATTTTCTTTGTTTGCTTGTTTGAAATTTGGAGTTGCTTGTTATAATTCAAACAAAATGAAGAATTTAAACTTTTCAAAATTAAGCTGGGAGCCATGGCGTACATCTATAATCCTCGCACTTGTTTGTGGGGGGAGGACAGAGACAGAAGGGTCAGGAGTTCAAGGTCATCCTTGACTACATGAGGATACTCTCATGTAGTATGGGCTAC